CGGTATTCTATCGTGCTCGTAAACAGCCTTCGAAGTATCTGAGGATGTGTTTAAATTACATGACTAAAAATTAGCCTACTTTGTAAAAGAATTGAACATAGGCTAATAAGGCTAATGGATTCTAACTATCAATTAGCCTCTATTAGTTCTTATTAGCTTAGGATTAGCCCACGTGGCACAAAAAATAGGAGCTAAACAGCCATGGGCAGACCCAGACTTAGTCCTAGTAATCTCAGGCCTACCCTAGATTTTAATCAAAGTTAGCGGTACTAGATTTGAAAATCCAAATTAAAGAGGAGCATAGGCGTTGTATGGCGGAGATAAAGGCCTTCTTCGCTTCTCTTATAATCCGTACTTTTCAGCTTATTTTTTTCAGCCAAAACAGTATTTTTCTCTCACAACAAATCAGCCGGAACAGTGTATCGACTTGTTTTCTCAGCGAAGCGAACGGAGCCAAAAGGTCCATCAATCATAGTCGCCACCTACTGAATTTGCATGGGACTTTTGACTTCAGGACGGCGGCATCCAGGCCAAGTTCCTTCTGTCGTGCAGCGTGGGCCACTCAAACCTCTTTTTCAGGATGCAAAAACAGCGGATCAAGCCATCAAGGGCAACACGCTTGTTGAAAGTTGCGTCAGAAATTGCATCCTTTTGTTTGGAAATCGTTACTTGGGAGGTGCATCAGATTATCTGATCAGGAGGCGCCGTTTGCACTGATGCTCCTGCGCTCGAAAGGAGAGGCCGGATCGTGTGGCAGCTTCGGGAGGCACGCTGCATGCCGCGCACGTGTTGCCGTACCATTCCACCTCGCCGCGCGCCGCCATCTCCGCTCGATCGAATCATACGGCCACACCACCTCTGCTCTGCGGCTACGTACACTTGCACCGTCCGATGCGATTTTTTTTTTAATTTTAACATTTTTTTGATAACTAATTTTAAATCTAACACTACAAGTTTTTTTTAAACTAACACTTTTGGCTGCGTCTATTGCCCTGGCGCGGCTAAATGACTGTGCCGCGCTATGCATGGTGCACAGGCGGCGATCTGATCGGCGATGGCGAACAACGGTTTCAATGACCGTTGACGTGGCGCTCTCTTGCCGCCGCCATGCATGGCCGGCATTGCCGCTACCGATCCGTGGCGGCGGCGAGCCGAATAAATATCGTGCCCGATCCACGCCTACCCGAAAGCAAAGCAGACCGCTCGCTACCACGCCGCCGCCGCCGTGATGCACTGAACGGTTTAATCCGAACGCGTTGTGCCGATAGTGGGAGTTATTCTAAGTATTGCTTGACGTAAAATCAATAATAGATTTGTTTCTGTCTTTTGTTGAATTTTTTTTACGGCCGAATAGAGAATTTGATAAGCCAATGATTTGTTGTCCGTCTTTCATAATACGGTTAACCACCATTTTAACTAATCGATTATGAAAAATTGTCACCGGCGTCGAGATACGCCGGGACTGTCGGTTTCCAAACTAGTTGGTACTTAAAATTGCCACCATTTTCATTGTTTTGACATAAGTTTGACATAACATAACCAAATAACCCCGTAAGTTTCGGACGCCAATATTCGTTTGACCTAACAAACTAAGATCCAGAAGTGTAAGTATTCCTCGGACGCCTTTGTCTCTTTGGATTTGTTGGCAACACATTGGGAGTGTAGCCAACGTCGGTATGGTCGCGTCGACGGTGCGTACGACTCGTACCCTGCAAGTATATGATACGCACGATTACTTATAATTCTTTATGATCGTTAGTTCATATAGCCTACGTCTTTAAATAAACTATCTTTGATAGTACCTGTGAGGCTCCTTGGGTACCAAGCGGGGCACCACCTAGCTGAGACATGTCGATCTCGTCCTGCGGCCAATCGTCCCACTGGTCGTGCTGTCTGCAGAAGCTCGGGGAGTCATCGTCCTCGTCGTCCTCGGTTACAGGGTCCTTCCCAGCGCTATGATGCGGTGGTGTACGCACCGCGAAAGTGGCACCTGTCATCGGTTGAGAAGAGCCGGCTGGTGTCCTCAAAGAGGCTGAAGACGTGCCACCCGACCGCGCGGGGAGTGGCGGTTCCTCATTAGGAGTGTCCATGCAGCTCAACTTCTGAGCTAGCTTCCTGCAACTCTTCTTCACCTTCTGCATAAATAGACGTTAAAGTTAGTGCATTACCCAAACGTATATACATTAAAGAAATATTTTCGGAACGGACAAGTTTATGTTACCTTCACAAAAGCCGCGAGAACGCCAGGCCCCTAACCTCTAGACTCGTGAAGCCAGAACGCTGCTTCGTTGGACAGCCTTGACAGTTGTGTCGTCTTGGTACAGAAACGCGGTTGGACAGTTTTAGTACACATACTTAATACCAAAAGGATAACAAACTGTACCATTCAAGTATATTACCACGTATCTTTGAAGCGGGGGCTCTTTCTAGTTGTGTGTCCTCCCTAGTGGTAACGTCGTACACATCTTCGATGACATCTTCCTCCGAGTCCTCGTCAATCGCCACGTTAGTGTACGGGGGCTTGATATGTGTCCTCGTAGACCTGTGAAACTACCGCAGGTACTCGTCGAAGGTGTGCTGGTCGTGTGGAGGACCCGCATGGACCCGGGCGAACCTTGCTTGGCGGCTGCCTGCTGTGCGCCATCTGGCGGGCGGAGCGAAAAGGGCGCCGGCGGCGTGAAGCGGGCGGCAATGGTGCGTGGCGGGCGGCGGGCGGGCACGCGGTATTTATTCGGCTCTACCGCGCTATGGATCAGGGCGCGGCAACAACTGCCACGTCAACGGTCACCAAAACCGGTCGTCGCCACGTCAGACCACTGTCGCGCCACCATGCATGCGCGCGGCACAGTCATTTGGCCGCGTCAGTGCAATAGGCGCGACCAAAAGTGTTAGTTAAAAAAAACATGCAATGTTAGATTTAAAATTAGTTATAAAAAATATTAAAATTAAAAAAAATCACCGATGCGGCCTCGGAATAGTTAAACGAGAGCCTGCTTCACCTCGCTCGCAAACCTACGCAGCAGAAGCGGAGGTTTCTTTTCTTTTTCCCCCTTCTATCTCTTCTAGACTAAAGAGATTGGAAAACAATATCTACAGTACTTGGAAAGGCGATGAGAATTGCACACGGCACCTCCATTGACCTGCTATTTGGGGGAAGGATGTCAAGATGGAGCCTGAGTCAACGAGACAAAAGTGGTAGTAGTAATACTATGTAGTATTTTGAAAAAGACAACTGTTTGGCCCCTTTTTCCACCCCTTTGGATTGAACCAATTCTTAATAGAAAGCGAATTTCTCTATTCATAATTGTACAAAAGAATCATGTTTTTTTTAATTCAAACAGGGGCAGAGCTTCCCCACAAAAGAATCATGCTATCAATATCATATATTTATGTAATGCTTTTATCAAATTCATTGTGATGCTGTTTCACATGGAGATATGTTTGCAGCATAGAGGTCCATATGTTTCAAATTATAGTTTATTTTAACTTCGTCTTAAGTCATTTTTTTTAAATCTGACCAATTTGTTAGAAAAATTGTATTAACATCTACAAACGTGTTATCAAGACATATTCTAAGGATAGTTTAATAAAGCTTTCCTTATAAATCCTATAAACTTTGTCAAAGTTAACGTTGGATTTAGAATAAAACAAGAGTGTACTATAATCTAAAATTGACGGGGTAGCATATAAATTACTACGCCAATGGCTCATTATATAAAGTTTTATCAAAGTTAGAAAATTTGACTTGGGGTAAAACTAGAGTGAACTATAATTTTAAATGGAGGGAGTAACATACAAGTTAATTTTTGAGTAAAATGCACGGGGGCATTAGCATATAAAAAAGCTTACTTACGCCAATGGTACTCTATTGGGCCATTACTATAAAGTTTTGCTTGCTTGTCTTTTTTTTTTAAAAATGGATGAATAGTTAGAATTTTGTAAAAAAAATAATTAGCTCAAACATTCTAAATATTTTTTGTAGCCTCTATATGATTTCTACCTAGGAAAATCATATAGAAACTTGGAAAAAAATTTAGAATGTTTGTATGTTTAAAAATTACCTCTTTTAATTAATAAATAAACTTTCATAAATTTTATAAAGAAAATAAATAAATGTCATTTTCTCCGGCTAACTGTCACACTCATAGCAAGCACGAGGCAGGCAATCTCATGGTAAGTGAACTATAATTTTAAATGGAGGACCTGTATAACATACAAGTTAATTTTTTTTCAAACCCTATACATACAGTAGTTAGTAACCTTAAAGCACTTTAATTTTTGAACCCTATACATAGAGTTAGTAACCTTTTCAATTCTTAATTGCTCCTTATGTTATCATATGAAGAAAAATATTTTCTCGTTTTTAGGTCCTTAAGGTAGATTTATTGGAGCAACATGCATTTTTGTGTCAAATCCAACACTGTAATGGAGTAACAAAAGTCAAGACTCACAAATGTAATCTTATTATTTCAAAATAGTAAATTTTACATAAGACATTTCAATTTATAGGCGATTTCCAAAGCCTTGGTCTATGAGAGTGCGAACAATTTTGATTTCTATATTTCTTAAAGCCTTGGTTTGAGTACTAAAAGTCTTGATACCACACCACCACTAAAGGCATGATTGGACCCAAGGGCTGATTGCTAGCTTAATAAAAACTAGTTAAAATTAGCTCTAGTGCATCTAAATGGGAGTTCTAATAGGTAGGTTAATTTTTTGCTAAGTATTTAACTAGTTGTTAGTAAATTAGTTAGCCAATCACAATTAATTTAAGTTAATTTTTAGTCTCAACCAGTAACATGCATGTGTATCAAAAATGCACTCAACATTCAGGGCCCTTGTTGCTATAAAGTCAAACGTCAGGGTGCAACGCGAAAAGACAAGGACCCTCCACTCCACCTAGACTTTGCCCTTCCACGCACCTCCACTTCGTCCTCCTCCCTTCCCCAGTTCAGATCTACTCCACTGCCACCTCCTCTCCCTCACCCGGGCCGCCTCCCATGGCGTCTCCGAGCGGAAACCCTAACCCTAATCCCAATCCACCATTCGAGATCGGGAAACTCTTCAGGCCACCGAACCCCATGCCCACCGCCACCCCCAACACCATCTTCCCCGGCGTCGCCGGAGGCCCGGCGGGCCCGCCGCCGCCGTCTGGTCCCTACTCCTACCCTCCGGTGACCCCACCCTTCCACCGCGGACCCTACATCCACTACCCGCAGGACCCCCATGCCATGCCCCGCCCCGTTGTCTCCTTCCCCATGCCAAACCCAAACCTGAACCCCAACCCGAACGCTAACCCCAACGCCGCCGCCCCGGGCCCTAACCCCGGCGCGCGCCTCATGCAGCTGCTCGGGAACTCCGGGCCGACCCAACTCGAGACCGCCGTCTCCATGCCCCCGCCCACGTCGGAGTTCGCACAACCGCAGCCGCTCCCAGCGATGCCATCTGCGCCGCCGGCCAGGATGCTGAGCAGCACCAACAGCAAGGTGCCCAGGGGACGGTTACTTGGCACCGGGGAACGAGCGGTACACGATGTTGACTCGAGGCTGCCTGGGGAAGCGCAGCCACCGCAGCTGGAGGTAACACCGATTACCAAGTACACATCAGATCCGGGGCTCGTGCTGGGCAGACAGATCGCTGTGAACCGGACGTACATCGTGTATGGGCTCAAGCTCGGTAACATCCGTGTGCTGAACATCAACACCGCACTCCGCTCACTCCTCCGTGGTCACACACAGGTACGAGCATGCAGATTAAGAGATATAGTCATTGGTTACTATTGTGTATAAATTTTGAGACTAATGACCGGCCAGCAGTTTCATCTCATGTACATGGTCCAACTGACAACTGAGTTGAAAAGTGGCATGGCCTTGTGGTGAAAACTTGAAGAGAAAAGAGAAACCTATTTCCATGAGATAGTCACATAGTTTGTAATTAAGCATATTGATGCATATCTTTTTTTCTTGTGCCATGCTCATCTGCTTGTATTGTATGGGCTTCATAATATAGATTGTTAGTTTTGTTTTGACCACTTTTTTGTTTGATTCCTTTATGAGATTGATAAGTTAACCATTTCGGACAGACTAACAGGGTGTCTCAATATGTTTTTCAGTCTGCTTGTGTGTTAGAATAGTGCTGAAATAGTATTGTATGCGAGCACACACACTTGTTTTTAATCTAGTGAGCTGAGCTTGAAGAAAATAGCTGTATATGTAGCTATTCTTTTCTCAGTGAATTACTTGTGCACACAACTCATCCACATAAATCTTGGTTTAATAGCACAGATGATGAGATGTGTGATACATTGTGCAATTCTAATCATTGACATAAAAAGTCAGTGATTTTGTATGTCGATTTTTGTTAGTTTCTTATATCGCTATGTGCTCCTTTTTTCCTTTGTGGATTCATTAATTTTACTCAGCACGTCACTGCATTTGTTTGATCTATCTTGTTGCCATTCTGTTTTTTGCCGCAGAGAGTGACAGACATGGCTTTCTTTGCTGAGGATGTCCATCGTTTGGCAAGGTACTAATACAAAATGATGGGATGTTCAGTTACCACTGCACTAACCAGTGATCTGTTTGCTTGCTATTATCTGGTTATCTAGTATTGCATTTTGGAATTTATCTTGTTGCTTCTAGTATATACATATTATTACTTCTGGTAGACTCCAATCTCCATGTCCTAATTTGCTTTGATCTTCTGCAGCGCGAGCGTAGATGGGCGGATATATGTGTGGAGGATCGATGAAGGACCTGATGAGGAAAAAAAACAACAAATTACTGGAAAGATTGAAATCGCCATCCAGATTGTAGGCGAGGCTGAAGCTTACCATCCAAGGATATGTTGGCACTCGCATAAGCAAGTAAAGCCTTACATCACACCCCTCAATATTTTTTTTTGCACATCAACCTACAAAGTGACTTAAACCTGTATCCTGTAGGAGATTCTCTTTGTTGGAATTGGGAACTGTGTCTTAAGAATAGACACAACTAAAGTGGGTAGAGGAAAAGACTTTACTGTGGAAGAACCTGTTAAATGTCATCTTGAAAAGCTTATTGATGGTGTTCGCTTAGTTGGTAAGCATGATGGTGATGCGACTGATTTGTCCATATCTCAATGGATGAGCACCCGCCTAGCCTCTGGATCCAAGGATGGCACGGTTCGTACTAAACTTACTACTTTCGTCATTGAATATTTTGCAAAACTGCACTCTTTTGATTTGAATGGTACCTTAAGCTTACTCAGAATCTATCACACGAATAGTCAATTCGTTAAGCACTGTATCTGTTCTATAAGCTCAAATCTGAATATGTATCTCTGTGGTTCAATCTTAGTAGACTCTAAACCCCACTTTCATACAATTTGGGAATCTTCCAGACACTAGCCACTTAAACAGTAATGTCCTACAATATATGTTTATATTGCAAAACTATTGTATTGGGAAGAAAGGATTAAAAGTATGGCATTTTTTTTTTGTGACACCTGTCTGTAGGTGTGTAGCCTTTGTTACACCAGAAAATCTCCCATGCAGCGAGGCTTCTGGTAGAAATTCACTGGAAAACAGTACCAGCTGCTGGCTTAAAACCATTAACCAAGCTATCAACAGTTTTATTCCTTAGCTGGCCAAAAATTTCCATGCTAGGAACAATGTCATATGGAGAAGTGCCATGCATCTCTACTGGCCCTTTTATGGATGTATATTGTTTATATCTTTGCAGGTTAAGATCTGGGATGATCGCAAACAAGTGCCATTATCAATTTTTAAGCCCCATGATGGTCAACCTGTTTATTCAGTTGCTTTTCTTACAGCACCTGAACGACCAAATCATATAAATCTAATTACAGCGGTATGTAGTCTTATATATATGTTTAAACTTTGCCAATCTTTTATTATGTTCACATGTTCTTTTAAGCTTGTGATTTTCTTTTGCATCTGATTTTGAAATTTTTTTCTGGCAAGTTATGGTCAGCCAAACTATTGATTCAGCAGCTTGAAACTCCTACTGCCAAATAATAAATGAGTGCCCCTGTACCGCATTATTAATACAATTCATATTACATCCCTCAACCAAAGATCAAGTCCTAGTTCTTGTTTCAGTTAAAAGGTCTCATAGCAGTGTCATATTACATTTTCAAATAAAATTAGACCCTGAATGGGGTACTAGCTGGCTACAATTGCTATGAAGTATGAACCTAAGATAGCCCAGAATTAGGTAATCTATGTAATGTTTGATACATTGGAGAAAATGTTTATCCATGGCGTTCCTTTAGGAAAGACATAACAATGTTGAGTTATGCTCTTAAATATTCCATGAGAAAAAAAGCCTTTGTGTTTTAATTAGATGTCTTCACCATTGTTTTAACCTTTTGTTGATGGTGCAGGGTCCTCTGAATCGAGAAGTTAAAATTTGGGCTTCTACTAATGAAGATGGCTGGTTGTTGCCAAGTGATTCTGAGACTTGGAAGTGTACTCAGACCTTGGAACTCGTTAGTTCTCTGGAACCTAGAGTCGAAGAGGCATTTTTCAACCAGGTTGCAGTGCTGCCTCAAGCAAGCCTGATTTTGCTTGCAAATGCTAAAAAGAACGCTATTTATGCCGTGCATGTTGAGTATGGCCCAGATCCTGCCTCTACTCGCTTAGACTATATAGCAGATTTCACAGTTGCAATGCCTATATTAAGCCTCACCGGAACACACGAAAGCCAACCAGATGGTGAACAAGTTGTTCAAGTCTATTGTGTTCAAACTATGGCCATTCAGCAATATGGTCTAGAGTTATCACTCTGTTCGCCTCCTACAGCTGATAGTACTGGGTTTGGAAGAGATCCTGCTATTTCCCGTGTTTACGAGGCGCCTCTGGAAATGGCAGGAACAGAGTCATCTACAGGAACTAGTTTCACAGACTCTTACTCTGTCAGTGCTTTGAGTAAACCACCAACTGTTGAACAGTCTGCAGGTAATGCAGTTGCATTTTCTTATTTAATTCTTTCAGTTAATTCAGAAGTAGTTATTTCTTGTGATTTATCTGCAGATCTTGATCTGAAACCATCAGCTCCACCGCTTGCATACTCAGAAGGTGATGGTTCCATGCCTCTTCCATCTGCACCTCTTGCACCAAAGATGGAGATTCCTGGATCAGGACCAGCACCTGGAACTCGTGATATAGATCAATCAGCTTTTGACTATACAACAAACAGAAACATGGAGCGTGATGCTTTGAAAAGGCAAGATACACCCATGCCCATTAGGAAGGATATCTTAGGAAAAGATGAGCCAAGAGATGGTCACAGTGATGTTCCAATGCTTCCAAATCCCCGTTTGATGTTTCAGGTTGGAGGGAATGCTACACACTTGGTTACTCCATCTGAAATTATATCGGGCACTCTCTCGTCTGCTGAAAACAATGATGTTTCCAAATCTGATGGAGGAAAAAGTCAAGATATTTCCAGCAGAAGCTCTCGGGTTGCAGAAGTGGAACCAAAGCATATTGATGAGAGTAAACCAGATCAAAATTTAGGACTTGAAGCTGTCAAGGAAACTCAGATTGTTTGTGAGAATATGGAGAAAACTCATTCTTTGGAGCAAACTGTTGAAATGATCAGTGAGCGCTCAGTTACAACTGATAAGTACAGTGTGGAAGAATCACAGTCATCATCTGATCGACGGGCATCAGACCAGACTGGTGTTGCTGATGAAAATGTTCTGAAGAAGTTTGTGGAAATCCCTGAGAAAATTGATTACTCCTCTGCTTCCAGGGAGCAATCATCTTCGTTTACGAAAGAGGAGAAAGTTTTGCACCCTCAAACATCTGGTCAGCCATCTCCTCCTGTGAGTGCTTTCAATTCAACTGAGTCACATGAGCCTTTGAGCTCCACATACCTACCTGCCAGCTCCTTCCCAGAAGCTGCTGCCACACAAGGGATGCTGCAACAGGTATGAACTTTGCATTGCCCTGAGTGAAGCACAATACCACATGCATTATTGGATTATCCATTTTTTACAATTTTATCTGTTTTATTTTACAGAATATTGCTAAACATTTTAGTGCAACATTGTTACATTGGGCCTGCTCGCTGCAGCTTGCAGCCGCAGCGGCTGCAGCTGTAGCAGTTGCCTTGTACATCTTTTTAGTTCACGAACTGCAGCAGCAGCTGCAGTGAACTTGCCCATTTATATTTATATTTACTGCAATTTCATCTTTTGAGCCGGCAGGGCATACATATCAGACATTTTTAATTCAAAGAAAAAATGATCATATCCATGCAGCCCTAATTTTTTGTATGCTTGCAGTGCCAATATCAGAAGTTAATCTTAGACCTTAAGTCAACCTTTTTCTCTCCCCCCTCCCTCTCCCTCCTTCCCCTCTCTCTAAAAAAAATATAAGAAGACCTTCTCACGCCGGTCGAGAAAACCCCCGAACTCCTGCCCCACCCATACATAGCAACACCGTAGCCCATGTGATAACGACCACGACCGGGGCCGGGCCTTAGACCTGTGTGCTTTGGCGTGGGACAGACGAGGGATTTTTTTTAACCCCAGCCTGAAATTCGCTCCCACGGGGAGTCGAGGACCTGAGGAGTGATACTCAAGCCACCTAACCTCTCTCTATCCTAGCTTTGGTACTGCTTGCAAGGAAATGTCACTATAGTGATAAATTATACTACCTCCGTCCTGAAAAGAATGCAACTATGGGTTGCATGCCACGAAAAGTGGTTCATGTTTGACCAAGTTTTTAGTGAATAATATTCACATTTATGGCTTTAAATTAATTTATTATGAAAATACATTTCATAATTAATCTGATGATATTTACTTGGTATCATAAACATGGATACTTTTTTTATCTATAATTGGTCAAACTTAAGGTACTAAAACGTGACACTGTGCTAGAATTGCATTCTTTTGGGGATGGAGGTAGCACTAATGCTATATAAATACATGTTCATGTGAACAGTCTTTTACTAGAGCAACAACTTATTGGTAGTCATCATATAAATTCTAGAAGTGCTGGCTAATCTTGAACATTATACTTAGTGGAGATGGTCAGGTTCCCTGGTTTAGCTTATTTTCATGAGAAGGGATAACCCTGTGCAAGCCCAATTAAGCTTGAAATGAATGAAAAGTAGATAAATCTAGTTTCTCAATCCCCACCTTATTAGAGTTTTTTTTTGTCTCTGTTCTTTTTTTACCCTGGCCAAGTTTTTACTGACTGTCACCAACAGAAACGAGGTCTATTTACGTGTGGCTGTTTTCATCTTGGTCCTGAGGTCCTGCATTGAGAAAAAGTTGATTTCAGATTAATTAGATCATTGCAAAACTGAATTCAAAACAGCAGAATTTTTGTTTTACTTTAATCCAGTTTCATTGTATTCTACTCCGTATGTACTAGTTTTGGGCGACAATGTCGATAAGCCAATCTTGAGATCCTCAGCTGGACTTGGGTCATTATGTTCAACATTTCAACTTGATTCTTTTTTTGTCAGCTTGCAAAACTAGCAAAGCAATTGTTTTCTTTTAGGAAGAAAGATGAATTCTACTTGTGTTTATGCTCAGTTAAATTTGACATGCTACACTTGGTTAGTGTTACCGTAGGACAGGACTGGAGAATTCCCTGTTAACTATATGGTTTTTGTTTCACTAAATGTTACAATGCGATAGCACTATATGAGTATCAAGGCTATCATTTACTGTGCTTGTATGTATTCCAGCTCATGGGGATGCAGAAGGACATGGAAAAGCAGCTTAGTACTGTGGTTCCTGCATCCATCGCAAAGGAGGGCAAAAGACTTGAGACATCATTAGGGCGAGCTGTAGAGAAATCAATCAAGGCTAATATTGATGCGTTTTGGGTTCGTCTCCAGGAGGAAAACACTAAGCGTGAAAAGGCTGACAGAGAGCGAATGCAGCAATTGGTTACTCTCATTACGAACTCAATAAATAAGGACTTGCCTTCTAATCTGGAGAAATCACTTAAGAAAGAAATTTCTTCACTTGGACCTATTGTTGCCCGCGCAATTACACCTATTATTGAGAAGTGCCTGACCTCTGCTGTTTATGATTCAGTTCAGGTTAGTAAATTCCTTCTGTGTTTATTATGCTTAATTTGATCATGTTTCCTCATTTGATTATTTGTTTTTAGAAAGGGGTGGGTGACAAGGTGTGCAATCAGCTGGAAAAGTCTATTACTGGAAAACTTGAAGCTACACTTGCCAGGCAAATCCAAATGCAGTTCCATACATCTGGAAAACAGGCTCTTCAGGTATGAATCTTCCTTTTATATAGATGTTGTAAAGTGGCAGATTATTCCCCATTTAACATGGCGTGCTTTATCTGTTTGCTAGGCTTTAATATCTTTGCAGATTGCTTTAGATGTTCAGGAAATATGATATTTGGTGCCTTTGTTTTAGCTATACTATGTCTACTGATCGGTTTTAAATGGATGCAGGATGCTTTGCGTACTAGCTTTGAATCATTGCTTGTTCCAGCGTTTGAGCAAACATGCAAGACAATGTTTGAGCAAATAGATGGTGCATTTCAAAAGGGAATGTCTGAGCACTCCATTGCTATTCAGCAGCAAGTTGAGGCTGCACATACTCCGTTAGCGCTAACTCTAAAAGTAAGTTGAGGACCTACTTTTGATATAATTGTATGCCAAATAATAGGAACATCAATTGATGGATACTCATTTCGTTCCGGCCATCTGCTAAGAAATGACTTCTGTATTTTGTTTTTTTCTCGTACTCCCAGGAAACCATCAATTCTGCATCATCAATCACCCAGAGTTTTTCATCAGAGTTACTTGATGGCAATCGCAAGCTATTGGCACTTGTTACTTCTGGGAATGCCAAGGCACATAATACCAGTGCTTTGCAGCCCATTAATGGTCCTATGGGTGGCCCCCAAGAGGTGGATGCAGACAATTTTTCGTTTTCAATAACACTGCTGATCAGGATTTGTTTATTTCATTTCATTCTTGTGATATGTCTGCTCCTTTTCATGCATTTAGTTTCATATCTGTTATATGTCTATTGGTCGGTTAATGATAATTCTTATTCTTGTCAAAAAAAAATGATAATTCTTATTATTTTGTGTTGAGTTAGAATATAAAGAATGAAATAACAAGCATGCATCTAAACATTTATCTACCTTCCTTTTTTGATAGGTTGAGGCTCCCTTAGATCCGATGAAAGAGCTTAGCAGACTGATATCTGAACGCAAGTTTGACGAAGCGTTTACAATGGCTCTTCAAAGGAGTGACGTTTCCATAGTATCGTGGCTGTGCTCCCAGGTATCTTCCTTCCACCAAATTGATCAGCTAAGATGGACCCTAGTTCCCCATATTATAACAACCTTGTTTTGGCTTTGTGATGCTTATAATACCCCCTTGTACAGGTTGATTTGCGGGCATTATGTGCAATGGCCCCAGTACCTCTTAACCAGGGGGTCCTTCTTGCCTTATTGCAGCAGCTAGCAATTGACATTCACAATGAGACATCACGAAAGGTTCAATGGATGACAGATGTTGCCATGGCAATCAACCCAGCAGACCAGATGATCACGGTGCATGTGCGACCTATCTTTGAGCAAGTCTACAACCAGTTGGCCCACCAGCGGACACTCCCCACCACGACCGCATCAGATGGCACCAGCATCCGTGTGATCATGCATGTAATCAACTCGGTTCTGCTTAGCTACAAGTGATTGTAGCTATGCAACTGGGGGAAGTATGGCCTATTCTATCTTGTATAGAGAAATTTTGAATGGCAAAGGGAACCAACAACCCAGGAGGGTGATGGTGTGACATTGTGGCCGAGAATACTTTGCAAGAGGGTGGAGGCTGCTCCTTGGTGTAAATTTGGCTTCTATCGCTCTTGAAATTGGACTATTCTAGTAATTGGGCATCCTCGAATTCTCTAGGTCATGTTCATTTGTCAGATGATCAATGGGTCTTGTATGTCCGTCATACCTTTATGGAAATGGGTCGAATATATCAGTCGGATCTTGTAGCCCGGCAGTTTGGAACCAATAGCGGCTGCTTGGTGGTGGTTGATCCACACAAATTTTTGGAGTCCAATGTAGACGTTGTTTCTGGTGGCAACTCCAAAATTGGAGTTATTCTGTTTGACTATTCGACGACGGTGGATTTGTCATGTTCTTAGGGCGTGTTTAGTTTCGAAAATTTTTGGCTTTTGGCTACTATAGTACTTTTGTTTGTATTTAGCAAAAATTATCTAATTATGAACTATTTAGGCTTAAAAGATTCGTCTCATGATTTCTCGGTCAACTGTGTAATTAGTTTTTTTTTCGTCTATATTTAGTACTTCATGCATGTGCCGCAAGATTTAATGTGACGGGTACTGCGCAAAAAAATTTGGATTTTGGGGAAATTAAACGGGGCCTTAGTTATGTGATCCAATGGGCCAGGACCACGAGACGCCTAAAGCGTGCTTGGGGCCTTTGAGGCAACAACTCGGCATTCGATCAGGAGTTGGCTAGCGCTTAGTGCCGTAAAGCTACTAAAACGTAATTATTATCCTCGAATTGGACGGATATCTCAATAGCGGTAGCTGAGCGCTAGAACTTCTTTATTTTGAGATGGGACGTTAAAACTAGAGCAGCTGGTTGGTAGTTGAATTAGCCGTTAATAGCTAGCAGTGATTCTGATATCAGCACAACTTCACAACATTCGACATATTAACTTAAATTATTCTGCATCAGCAAAGCAGAACCCAAATTGAAAATGCAACTTAAGATGCTCAGTTTACTATAGTATGCAAACGAGAGGTTCGAATAAAATATAGCAAGCCTCCATGCTTGCTGTGTACACAGATAAACAGTTAGAGCATTGCTTCAATCCCAAACAGCGTCCTTAAATACTATCTTGTCTCGATAAGAATTACAAGCCGAGAGCTTTCAAACGCTCCAAATGAGCATTACACAAACCACGTTGCTACAAAACCCTGCACAACCCAATATATAGCGCAACAACCTATGGCGCATAACCAAACTCCCCAGTAGCAGGAAACACAACTCCAGACATATGTTTTATCAGGTACAGCCGCCCCGATGCTGGTGGCGCGAGACCGTATTGGGCCAGTAGCCAGCAAGGCAACCCCATGTGTACACAGGATCGGTCTCAGAATAGGTGATTTGGTTCTCCCTTCGTGATGCTCGCAACTTTGTTCATTACCCCCTTGTCTTAGCTCTCTTCATTCCAAGGCTGTTGTGGAAAGGGGACGCTGAACCGGATCTCTGCATCCCTTCCTCACGAAGGGTGCCATTAAGCATTGCAAGCTCCCGTAGCTGCTGCTTCTTGAAGAAGTCCTGGGATTCATCCTGCAAAGAAGATAACAAGAACTATTCAGGTATCCATTCTTCAAGATGGAGTAAAAGCAAGCAAGCTAAGAGTTTTAAAAGGATAAAAGGTGTTGATGGCATACCACAGGCTTTAGCAGATCTTCAAGGATCTCGCGGGCTTGCATCAGGCGAGCATCAATGATTTCAACAGGTAGCTCTGCCTCAACCAATATATGAAGGGGTTCATTCAGGTGTTCATATCCTGGCTTCCCTCGCATCATTTCCCCCTGAAAAATAATAGCACAAGTGACCCCCAATCCCATAGCACAAAGTAAACAGAATCCACTAGATGTACACATGCATAAAGGTAGCTAGGCCACCTAAGGATGGATGGCCCCATTCTGGGAAGTTCCAGAAAGAAAGTGTTTTTTTAGAGAATCACCAGGTAGCCAGTGTGGGCTTTCATACCAAGACACAAACTGGAAGGTACATAAAAGAAAACAATTTGAAAAACCGAGCAGTAACAAACTATAAAATATCCATATTTTCCAAGCCAGAGGTTATCAGGGATTCAGGGTTGATTTGGCTTTGAATGACTCAAGTCATACATGACGAATCAAGTCCATAAGTTCATAGTTCATATTTCATACATAAACTCCAATTTTCCAAATTTCTGAGTACATCTAACAACCAAGTCCATAAAAGTAAGAGGCACTAATCTGAATGTTTACCCGTGCTGGATCTTTGATGCTGCCGCGACCTCTTATCAGTACGCGGCAGTCTGTATTTGCCTCCACCCGCTTCAAGGAATTTCCTCTTGGACCAAGGATGCGGCCAACGAAATTGTACTAGGAGAATAGACATAAAAACTTAAGATAAGGATGTAGCAATTCAAGAGTATAACAATTTGTGAAATAGCACACTTACTGTTGGATATTTATCTACTGGGATATCGACCTTCATTGTTTTCTTGACAATAAGTCCAGAGGAGCTGCCTTGTGATCCTCCAAGCCAGCTATAAGCTGGTGAACTCTGCATGATCACAAGTTGATCATATTATAAGTTTAGAACCCCTTTTCTGACTATTAGTGTTGGAAATGGAGCAAAGTGAGCTAAGATAGCAAATGAAAATCAACAGAATTCAAGCCAAAGGAAAAGCCATTGTGCAATGCGTACAGTTTGATGGATCTGAATAAGTATAGGATTATGCTGAAAAGAGTGATGATGACACATCCAGCTATTCCTGTGCACATGGGTTCTATTTTTAAGAACAATATGTTTATGATCAGGCATAGCTTTGTCACAAGTCATTCTATATCGAATATGATTTCAATAAGAGCTACTGTTGCTGAAACATAAAATAGGTAGCAATCTGGTTAGACCAGTCAGCAGATTGCCAGATTCTGATTTAGGATGGCAACTGATTAGAATTGTCAGACTTTCAACATATGGAGCCAAATTAGTGACAATTAGCGTTAGCATGTTATCCAAACTTCGACACATGGAACACAGAAAAGAATTTAATGGCATCTTGGAACCCACTGCCTGAAAGGGATCATATTATAGTTAGCAAGTTAGCATAGGGGCCAAGTAGTACGAAGAATGTAAGCATCTACATTTGAGTAAAAATCAGTTAGAGAAAACCTGATCTAAGCTTTCAAGATGGTAAATTAGGCATGAAGAGTAAGTAAGTTATGTTAAATAGTCAGTATCCATACTTCTGATTGAAACGCTGATGTCCACCCATTCATGTCAGTAGCTGCTCCATTTGAATACAATCCTCCCGTTGTTAGTGGACTACCATGTTCAAGGCCACTTTGATTTAAAAGGGACGCGTTCTCCAATAGTGTGGAAACACGTAAAATTTCTGCTCCAACATTGCAATTACAAGCACAAGACGTAGAAAAAGTTAGCAGTTAGAATTAGTGATTAGTAAATGCAGTTAGCATTAGTAATTAGTAAAGGCAGTCAGAATTAGTGAGTAGTAAATGCATAGATAACCTCACGTTGTTAGTGTCAAGACATTGATTTGGAAGAAATTTTCCATCTTAGAAGTAGACAGCTTGTGGAGTCAGAACAGAGTCAAGTTCTCTTATCTAAAATATTTATGTTGAGAATATATGCAAATATAGCACGTAACTACTATGGCAATCTTGGAACACCAAAAGAAGCTGCAAAAGAAAAACTTATAGTATGATAAAAAAAAAACCATCGAAAACAAAACAAGCAGATATGCAATATAACACCTAAATGAAACAATGCAAAAATAAGTGTTCTTTATAGGATTATAACAGTTTGTCCCATACATGTACCCCAATAGAGGAGAATCAATGGCCACTCTCTGCAGATCGTCCTGGCCATTTATTATATCCAAGTGAACAGAAATAAAAAGGTGTGCTTCTATCTATTAATCCAAAACACATGAACCATCTTATATCTCTCACCAAGCTCAAATTTTATGTGGATTTTAAATAATCAGAAGCGTGCACGTTGTTTGTCACTGTAAGCACAACAATGATCACTCAAAATTTAACCATCTGGATCTTTAAGTTCACCCAGACACCCCGAACAGTGAGTCATGCACACTCACGTGTCTCAAAGGAAACCACAATTCTACAAATTATTGTTACCTCCAACAGATCATTTTCCAGCAACCAAGTGTTCGTTGCTGTGCCGTTCTAGGAAGGGAATTCAATGACACTATGGTATGACTTCATTGTTATAGCTAGAGTGATCAGATGGACACAAGCCTCCAGAGAGAGAGAGAGAGAGCTGGTACTCATCCAATAACTGCTGGGTGCACTTGCCAGAACCCTCTTGAGGAATTTATGGCAACGACAGAGAAATCAAGGACTAGACAGAAATTACCACTAAATATCAGAGGACTAGACAGAAACCAATACATTGAAACAACAGCGAAATGGCAGGGTTAGTGCTGCTTAAGACATTTGCCTTTGGCCCACCTACAAGCAACAAGGCAATCTGTTACAAGACTCAGACCAATGGTGCAACACACCCAAAGGAGTTTTCTATTTCTATGTATTTCCTTTTTTTTTTTGTGTGTGTGTGTGTGTGTGTTGTATTCTCTCTCTCTTTGAAACGGAGGCAAGAGAATTGCCGAGTAAATACAATCAGGAAAAACGAATTCAAAAGAAAAGAAAGGGAAAAGGGACCCGCTCGGTGTGAGTTGGATTCATATTTCCACAATGAAACAGCGAGCAACAAGAATTGATTTTGCTGTAAGTTTAGCCCGTCCGAATCTGAACAAGAGGTGCAGAATGCACACGAACACCAATAATCAACTATTCCTACATCTTAACAGAATATTCTGAATGCGTGGCAGCAGTATCAGTGCATCCAGCTATGGGTCATTCATCTGCTCAAATGCATCACGTTTAAATGGCATGACGTCACGAGATCTAACCTTGATTCAGCAACCGCACACTATGCGGGATCACTGGGATGAACGGGCCAAGCTTGTGCCTCTCCGCGAGCAGTTCGGCAAGGTACCTACAAAAGCATCGGAACAAGGTCATCATTCATAACGTGTGAGAACAGCTATGCAAAGATAATTTTTTGTAAAAACAGGGTAGCCTAAAAATTCAGAAAATTCCCCAAAATCCCAAGGCATACACATGAAAGGATCATACTTTGATCACGAACTGAACCAAGTAAATACTGAGCTTAGCGACTCGCTTGTTGAATCCAGCGGAAATCCAGCAAAAGTTCGACGAGAAGCAACTTTGACCAAAAACCGGAGATCTTGCAGAGGCGAATCAGATCCGATGCTAAAAGGGCCTAAACCTCGGCGCGCTACACAAGATTCAAACCGTGAAAACTTCGATGCTCCCCAGAACGGACGACCCAGGCCCCCAATCCGCTCCTCCAGGGCGCGATCGGAGCCGACACGAAGCAGGGGGAGCAGGAGACGCGGGCGAGGCGAAGTGCCATGGCTTACTTCTCCTGTTCTGCGACGGCGGCAGAGGGGGTGCGGAGGCCGGCGATGCGGGGGGAGTGCGGGGTGGTCGACGGCGAGGGCGAGTAGGCCATGTACCGCCCCGACGACATGTCTGCTGCTGCTCTCCCTCCCTCGGCGAGATCTCAGCGGCCCGGGACTGTCGAGACTTCGTCCGCTGGAGCTGGCCTAGTAGATGGCAGCGGCGGCGGCGGCGGGGAAGGAGGGAGGGAGGGAGAGAGAGGAGAGTTGGAGGGGTGGAGCGAGGGCTTATATGGGTGCACGTGGCCGCCCGCGGGGGAGTGAGTAGAGACTAGGGAGTAGTGGTAGGCGCGCCGCGCGCGGTAACAGGTGAAGTGAATAGTGGCCGGGGCGTGGAGGCGAGCGTGGACGGAGGTTGCGGGCGGCGCCCGGTCTCCCGGTGGTGGTTGGTAAATTTGCCGGGAGACTCGCGAGCAGGGTGGGAAATCTGACAGATCATCAGATTCAGACGAGGGGGCGCGGTCTGCGTGCCGTCCGATTAGCAGCGTACGGTACATAACGAAGGGCCTGTTTGGTTAAGGGCCACTAAAGTTTACTGACTAAACTTTAGTCATTTTGGTCACTAAAATGTCAAACATCTTGACTAAAATGTGTTACTAAAGTTTAGTGGCTTTAGTCATCAAGATATAGCTAAAAGTGATTAAAAGTGGTCCCAGATGACTTTATTTTCTTTCTCTCTCTCTTATTTTCACTTTTATCATACTTTTAGCATATGGATCCAAACAGAAGGTCACTAAACTTTAGAGGGGTGACTAAACTTTAGAGGGTGTTTAGATGCTTTTAGAATGGCAAAATTTTTGACCTCTAATCTTATCCTACAAAACTTTTGCCATTTAAACTTTTGGCATTTGATGTTTAGATGCATGGCAAAACTTTGATCATGCAGACACAACACGCGCTCCCAATACGTTTTTTTGTCTAGTTTTAGGCCTCTTGGGTCCCAAATGCTAAAAGTTTTACAGCACAAGTTTTGTTATTTTTGCCTATGGTGTTTAGATCCATTTTAGTTAAAGATGGGATAAAACATCAAAAGTTTTGATCAAAATAGGGAGCTAAACAGGCCCTTAGAGGAGTGAGTAAAGAAACCAAACAGACCCGAAGTATACTCTACACTGGAGCATACTAACATCACTCCATGGCGGCGGTCAAAAACCATATGTGATTAACACCCTGTTCGCTTAAACTTATCAGTCATAGTATAATGTTTTTCTCTCATAGCAAAACAACATCACGCCTTTATCACCACAGAAACCATCAGCCAAATAACTTGTTAATAGAGACCTCGCCCCCCTCTCTTTTGAGAAGCTATTTTTCACCTATATACACATATAGCTACATTCACCTCCTATCTCTATAAACATTTCTGCTGACCCAATACATCTTGAGATATCCACATCAAGTTGAGGACTTATCCAAGTAAATAGGTTTCATCACAAATAATCTAATCGACTGTAGTTCATGGCAGAATAGCCCCAACTTTTAGCGAAGGCTTTTTTCGTAACTCAACTATTAAAATCACCATTTCACTACTCAAAGCTTTATTTCTCATATTCAATTTTATTCTTCAACCATCAAAATAACCATTCTAGTTGTCAAACTTTTATTTTTAGGATCAATCTCATCCCTTGTTCTACATGGCACGTCATCATGAAAATTTAGCATGCCATGTAGAACTAGAAACAATATATTGCCTACATATAAAAATTTGAGGGTCAAAATGGTCTTTTCAAAGTTGAAAGACAAAACGGAGACCAAAATAAAAGTTTAAGGACAAAAACCGTCATTTTCATGACCGAGGAATGAAATTGAGTCTTAAGAGAGTTTGAGAGAAAAAACAACTATCCTACCCTCTCTTTTCTTCTTTCCTATGATCATTTCTTTTTCCTCAAAAATGAAAAGAGGTTTCATTGCATATGAATTGGTAGCGGGGCCATCAAGACCTAGCGCTAGATCCACCTCTGCCTATAGCCAGAGTTATTTGTTAATCAATGATATTTAAAGGTATAATCAATTATATATGTAAAAAAGTTTTAAAAAATTACTTTTTATCTTTTGAATTTTTGAATATGCGCTCTTCGAATTATAAGCCCGACACCGCTCGAGTGCTCAAGCATGGTCCATGAAAGCACTTGTTGATTCACCTCTCGTAACTGAGGCCCGGTTTTGATTCACTAATAGTTAGCTCGCTAATACCTCATTATTTGATTTGATCTAACTAGTGAGATAGTTGTTATCTAAAGCTCTAGCTAACAATTAGCTAGTCTATTATCTATACCTATTTAGATAAAAAAAGATAATTATTAGCAAATAACTACTATCTATATGGATCAAACATGACCTGAGTTAGACTTCGTGGGTGTAGCATTTTCCATACGTATGTTACGTGTAACGGTGTAAGCACTAAATAAAGATATGAGATATCCTCTCAGTATCTATCCAATCTATCTCTGCTTAGGCCCCGTCGGTATGACTCTAAACAGTTTCGGTTCCTTTGTTACGGTACGTGGAGGCGTTGGAGCCGATAAAAAAATAGAGTGACTTCAAAGACTCCTAATTCATTTTGAAACAAGAGATAAAAATGACTCATTTTTACGGTGGTGCATAAAGGAACTGGAGTCGAAGCTAGTCATAGCAGAGCTTGCTAGCGTCCGAATGTGCCCGCATAGAGAGCGAACGAGCGCCTAACGCGTCGGGCTTGCAAGGGAGTGCATCAGTAGTGGTCCCGCGTCGCCCTGGACGTCGCCCACGCCGTCGGTAGCTTCCCACGCACATGCCATGTGTAACACCCGATCTACTTTTGAAATATCCAGATGCAACAGATGAAACATACAAAAAGAAGACGGATGAAACACTTGAAACAAGCATCTGAAACACTTGCAAAAATGCCTGAAAAATATTTGAAAACCATTGCATTTGCAACATTCAGATGAAACACTTGTAAACATATATATGAAACACCTAAACACACTTGAAACATATGCTTACAACATGCATTAATATGCAATATCTAGATTTACTTTTGCAACATCCGGACAAAACACTTGCACCATTCGTGTGGAATAGATAAAACATTTAGAACATACACTTGAAACATACGTATATAGCCATTACAACACGTGCAATATCTCAATCTATTTTTCCAACATTGATATACAACACTTGCAACATAACTCAGAAACATCTGAAACACTTAAAACATACTATTGCAACATGCGCTTTTAGCGTAGCATTTGCTTGCTGCTTGGACGAATGGAGGCTTGTCGATGCGGAGCCCGACGCCGGCATGGAGCTCGAAGCCGCGAGTGGCACGGAGGTCGCCGATGTGGAGCTCATCGGCGGCACGGACCTCGGCAGGGGCAGGGGCAGCCGGATGGAGCACGGCCGCGATAGGAGGCACGAGTCCGGGAGCGAGCTAGCGTGTTGGTGAAAGGTCGAGATGGCAGACTAGAGGGGGGTGAATAGTCATTTCTAAATCAAATCGCACCGGCTAACCAAAAAAATGCGAAATTAAAACAATCGGTCTATCCAAGACTACACCCCTCTATCGAAGTTTACAAGCACCTTATAAAGATCCTAATTATGCAACAAAGGTGCCGGGCTAGCTAGATCTCACCTATCCAATTCTAGGAGCAAGGTCACATAAACCTATGCCACTAGTATTTTACACACTGGGGAGCTCCTACACAATTCTAGTAAGCAAAAGCACAAAACTCTAAGCTCACTAGCAATGCTCAATAACAAGGCAACCAATGCCAAATTAGAGAGCGCAAATACTTAACTACACAAACTAAGCAATGTGACTAACAAGGTTACATAAACCAAATTAACCACGCAAGGGAGCTACTTCTATGCTACACAAGCAAGAAGGTAACTAGTGAGCTACACAAGCCAACTAATTATAAGAGCAATTATACAAGCACAACGTATATGAAAGTAATTACAAGCTTGTGTAAGGGGATTGCAAACCAACGGGAAGAATAATGTTGACACGGTGATTTTTCTCCCGAGGTTCACGTGCTTGCCAACACGCTATGTCCCGTGAAGACAAGCTCCAAGGTTGCCTCCTCTTACTAGTGGTGACCTGCAAGTCACACTCTCCCACGTGGTGATTTACCAAGTCACCACTCTCCCTTTCACATCTCATCTCGCTCTAGCATTTACCACAATACCCCTCACAAAAGCTTCTCCTGAGCACCACACAAGCTTCTTGACTTCGACGGAGACCACCACTAAGCCATCTAGGAGGTGGCAACCTCCAAGAGTAACAAGCACCACTTTGTGACCACCTAGTGCCACTCGATGCAACCTCACGATGCAATCACACTAGAATCGCTCTACTCAATCGGATGAACACTATCAAGCTAGAGTGAGTTCTTCACCACATAAGCCACCAAGGCTCTAGTATGCTCGGCTATCGGTCAAAGGCCACAACACTTCTATTTATAGCCCTCACTAAAATAGCTCCCCTTCACCGGTGTTTTTCGGGATGACCGGATGCACCGCACCGCACGCACCCGCCAGTCGTCTTATGCTTCTATATGCCATCCATGTGTCGCTCTCAACCGAGAGATCTCAATAGTAACCGCACACACGCACTAGGGAGGTGGCAACCTCACAACGCAACGCGTGGTCCCAAGCAAAGAGCTCCCGAGCATTGTTTTGCAACCGGACGCAGCCCAATCACAGTGTGATGGACACATCTCGATTCGGTCCTCATCGGCTTCTCCACTGCGTGCCTAATCAGACGTAGGCCTGCGTGTCCGGCCACTCGCTCACTCAATCGGCCCATGACCAAGACCACGCAATTAATCAAGCTAGCCACCGACGATGACACGCGAATCATAGTGACCTTCTTTTGTCTCTTTTTCTTCACCGAGTTGATCCTTATCAACTCTAACTTCTTCTCCTTTACAAATATGCCAACACCACCAAGTGTACACCACCATGTGTATGTGTGTTAACTTTTCACAAATATTTTTCAAAGGATTAGCCACTCAACTTGCCACGCCACTTGATCCTAGCGACGATGCAAAGTTAGATCACTCGAGTGGCACTAGATGACCGATATGCA